CGATCGATCATCGGTTGCACGTTGATCTTCCGCTGGCCGATCTCGCCATAGCACAGAGTACGCGACGTTCTCGAGAATAAGACGTCGATCGGGAGACTACGTCTTTGTCCCGCGAGTCGACCCTCGTCCTCCTGTTGCGAATCAACGGTCGTCCTGTAATCAGTATTCCTCCGCTCTCGTGCGTCTGTGCCTGTAACCGGTCACTTCCGGCGGCAGCGGCACCACCCAGTCACCAAAACAGAAAACCAAGAGTGTCTCGCCTCGGCCTTAATAATACGTGGGCACGGTTATGCGCGCGAGACACGCGAGTCTCTGGCCTCCGGAATAGTCCAAGAACGAAAACACCGTTTCACGTTATCCTCAAACTATCGTTTGGACAATTTGTCCGAATCTTCGCTTTATCAAGAACGTCCATGTCTCTTGTTCTCGATTTTTCCCTAAGAAAAACGAAAGCAACCCCGTGCTCGTAATAAGTTTGTCAAGCGCATTCGACTTGCTCGCAGAACTTTCACCGGTGTCGAAGCTTGCCAATAAAAATCTTGCTTTCGAGCAAGACAGAGATTAAGAGAGAGAAAGATGGGAAAAGGACAAGATCCAAAAGAGGGTAGAAAGGTGTCAAGCGTTGACTTTGATGGATCGAAGATCCCTGCGCCTCGCCTATCCCCCCCACCCCTTTTTGTTCATCGCGGACCACCGCGTAGCTATGTATTTGTTTTTTCTTTCTCCACGGATAAAACGGCGTGTCTGACAGGTTACTCTCTCACGGTGTATGTTAACGTCCTTTGCAGCGCGCGTGCACTCGATACGCGTGCAGATGCGAGCCTCGCGCGAGATCGAGCAGCAACTATGCAGCTGCAGTTTGGCGCGATGAACGAGAAATCGTATCTATGTGCTGTTTGGAAAATTTTCAACGAATATTAAGAAAATTTCGCGACGTATAATAATTTTTTTTTAATTTTGATTATCGAAGAAACCTCCTTAGGAGATAACGGCGAAGAGTAGGCTGAACGCGTAAAGTTAATTAATCGACAGCGGTCGGCAGTTTCGAACCGATCGCAAGATTAATAACCTAGGCGTCGATTATGCAAAATACCTGTACACCGGACGCGCGACAGCTATACGCTCTGTGTTCTCGTTTTCATCCCGCGAATTTTTACGTAGGCAGACACGCGCGAGCAAAGATTTACGGGACCATTGTTCGCTCATTATAGAGAGGAGGAAACGAAGCATTCCAGGATAGGCGCGCGGAAGACTTAATTGCGCGATTAATTGCGCGCGTTTAACGTTCCCATTGAAACTTTTAACTGTCGGGATGATTCTAGGAAGTAGCTGTAGCTCCTTTCGAACAAAGATTGGAAGGTTAAGGTAACTGTAAATTGCTACTACGATTGTACGATTCGTCATTTCATTAGTCGTTTCGAGCGCTACGGTTACGATGCGGGTGACTTCGACGCGCGGTAAGAACACTACCGCGGGCTCTTTAACGGGTGATACGAGTATCATCGCTCAATATTTACCTCTGAACTCGATTCGGAGGAGAGCGATAAATCGAACCAATTTCTACGGATCGTTTTATATAATATATTATAGGATCGTTGGTAATCGTTTAGCGAGAAGGCGAGCTACTTTTCGTGGAAAATATCCTCGGAAATTTATTCACCCTTCGAGCAGCGGTGCAAGCGGCCTCGAAGCATGGAGAAACAGATTTATTTGTAGAATTAGTATGCATACCGCACGGCTGCCGGTCGAGCAAACGACGGGGACGTGTGAGCGAGCAAAGGTGACATTACATCGTGATAGCGATCGGTAAAAAGTATCGCGGGCATTCTTTTCCCTGCTTCTGCCTTATAAATCTTATTAACGCCGCGATCGGACCGACGGATTATGCATCGAGGTTACAAGACAATCGAGGAAGCATTTGAATGGAGAATACGCCCGATCCTTTTGGAACCGATACGCTTCTACGCAAACGCCATTGTGGATGCTGTGGTTTTCCAAGCGCAGCAACGGTAATCCCCTACAATCGTGAAATTGTTATTAACGAAGAGCGTGGTACAAACCAGTTCGGCTTGTAACAATGGCAATGTCGAATGGTTCGAGGATTTGTTGATTTTTGTACAAGTTGCATGTGGCTGAGTTTGATCATTGAAATATCAAGTACTTTGAACGAACTAATAGTCGTGGAATAAGTATCTAAACGAGATCAAAATTGGCGTGGGTCGAAGCGAAAATTTAATTAAATCAACGATCACGATACTTTTCGACGCGTCGAGTCAAATGTTGCGTTTAAAAAATTGTAAAATTTAAAAAACGCCAAGTACCGAGTTATGGTACAACCCAATAAGAATATCTGTCCGTCGATGGCTCGTTAAACGGGTCTCGTGCAATTACATGGATTAAAAAACAACATTCCTGGATGTTATTAAATCGTGCTGACATAAGGCTGTAATCGTCTTCAATTAAGTTAAACGGCGATAATGGGTTAATAATGTGAACAGTTTCCTTTCCGAACGAAAGGCTGTTTGGCTTTCGTGGAATTGCTCTCGAGTTACTTTAACGATCGACACGTCTACAGATCGTGGCATTCTGTTCGGTGCATTCGACTTCTTTTTCCACCCCATACTTGCTTCACTTTTGTTCGCGATATTGGTAAAAATAACTAAAGAAGAGATACGAAAATGCTAGCCATGCTCGACAGAGGATCGAGTAGAGTCGCTGGGTCAACTGTATGTCCCATTGGAGACGAGCGTGCGCACGAGTGGAGGCGGGTTTATTGAAATGCGCGCGAGTTAGCGACGGGGTGGCCTCCGAAGTCGCGTGGACGACACTCCCGCGGAATATTAAACGCGTTTCCCTGTTCGTTTCAAGCAAAGTTTGCGCGTTTCATCTATTCCGATAATTTTAAATTCGAATGTACATCAACATCACCATCGGCGTTTCAAAGGATAAGACGAGCGCGAAAGAAAATATTCGCTGGATGCGAGCAGATGCCCTTAAAGCCAACGTAGACGCCGCAAGAATGACGAAGAGTGTCGCAAAGGGGCAACAAGGACGTGGAACCGTGTATATATACACGTACGAAGATTAATTATTATAAACCCTTGCCTTTTGCCTACAGTCATCAATTTATACTCCTCTCTCGTGCATCCCAATTCCAATCCCAATCCCGATCCCGTGAGTCGCGCACGGAATAAAGGCTCATCCTCTCTAATTTATGCATGTCGAATCAATCTCCCTTTTTCTCCCCCTCTCTCTCTCTCTCTCTCTCTCTCTCGCAGTCTTCGTCCGGCTCTTATCCCTTTTTCTTCCTCTCGTTTCCTTCTCCGACCTCGTCCATCCTTCTTCCCGTTCGTTCGACGCCGGAGTAGTCCTACGTCTTGTTGCTCCTGTTCCTGCACCTGGGCAACCGTCGCCCCTCGGAGTAGAGCCCAGCTACCCCGATAATGAGGGGCCGCGTTATCCTGTGCAAATATTTTCCTCGACGGGTGTTTGCACAGCCACGGCCGTCAGGCCTGGTGACGTCGATCGAACTCGCATATAACGCGAGATTCGATTCGTCTGGAAAGAGCCGAGTATTCTCGTGCGACGATATATATGTATAATGAGTTCATTCGTGATCATCAAAGTGGAGACGTTCGCCGAGGGATGAGCAAACAGAGATCACACGGGGAGAGCAGGCGATCGTGGTCGGAGGTTTCCGTGCGGTATGGTTCGACGGTTCTTCCCATGAATCGAGAATTTCAGTGACGTAAAGAGAGTACACCAGGCTCCTAATAATCCTTAGAAATTGTTGGCAATGGTCTCGGCTAGCTGTCTGGGAAGCATCTCTTTCGTGCATCGGTATTTCAAAGACGATATCACCGACGAGGAACGGAAAACAGTGGCACGGCTTTGCCAAGCAAGACAAATTGTAACATAACGACGCTTCGTGAATCGCACGGTGTAATCCGCCGTTTATCAGCGGTTCGTGCGCCGTCTGGACTCTCCCGATGGAGCCGATCCATTCTCGAGTTCGATCGATCCACGATCGTTCTGGCGTCATTCGTCTTGGCTCGTCGAGCGATCGCAGAATCTTGGATGGATACGAGGCTAAAGTCGCATCATCGGTCAGTCGCGTCCGACGAACGTCGGAATGCGTTACGTTAATTTATTCGACGGGATACTTGATACGTTTCAGTCGTCTCGAGCATTTTATCGCAAATAATTTTCATATAGACATGCCCGTAACGCTAGGTCTGTACCCTTTGCCCTATCGACAAAACTATCGTACGATGAAAAGTCGATAGCATCTGGCTAACGATACCCTGTCCATCAATTTTTCAACTCCCCGTCGTTCCCTGTCGGATGCCACACGCAAATTTCTTCGTCTTTGAATCGTCGTACACCCCTAAAGGCAAACTTCACCGGAAACCAGCGACCAATGACAAATACCCAGATGTCCGTTCAACCAAACACGCTAGAAACGCAACGCACGGGAGTTCTAGAGGCGATTAGATATCGCGACACGGCTGACAATAAATTATCAACGCTGTCGAGCGTGTGTGGCGCGAAGCGAAGCGACCCTCCGTCGCGGTGGGCATTGCTAAATTGAGGAATCATCGGTTGGGACTCGTATGCCGCGATTATCGTTAATTGATAAATTCGACGGTCCCGACGGTAATTTATTCCACGACGCGACGCGACGGTCAGGCATTTCTAACAGTTATTCCGCAGCGAATTCATCGGGCAACCTTCTGGGCAATCAGCGAACGATCGCGCGGACACCAGTTGGTCGAGCGTCGCCAACGTTTGTCCACTGTTTCCCACTGTTTCTCACTGTTTCTCACTGTTTCCGAGGATTCGAAACGTGAGAACGGTTGCCGATGGCAGATAATAAATGTTAATTGAATAGCTTAAAATGATCGTTGTATGTTTATAATCGCATTGCTTCGGCTCTGAAATGCTTATTCGCGGCAAAGAGGAGGTATCGTCTAACGAAGAATCGCGTTTGTTACTTTCAGACGACGAAGTCGCGGCGAGGAAGAGACAAACGGCGTGGTCAGCGACGACACCTCGCAGCAGCAACAACAGCAAGCAAGCTACGTGCCCGGACAGCGTGATACAGAAGAAGAGGAGGAACTGGGCGCGGAAGAGACGGCTCAGTCCCTGCAGAGCGGCGCCGAAGGCGCCGACCCAGAGGTACACAAGAGGGTTGCTGCGGTGCAGGTGCAGGTGCAGGGTATGGAGGGCGACTGGCGGACCTACTGCGAGCATCCGCTCTCGGTAGCGACCGCGGCCATGCTCAATCTCCAGCAGCAACACCAGGTCTCGGCCGTCGCTAGCCACGGTGACGACCCTGCTGCTTCCTACGTGTACGAGTACTACAAACTGCCGGAAAAGACCGCGGCAGATGTCAAACTACCGCCCACTCATGAACTCTGGTCCACGTGAGTCTGTTTGAATTTGAATATAGTAACGTACGGGATATCATCGACGGTATACAAAGTAGACAACTATGAATATTTTACGTCTCTCGTAATTATTCCGAAGAGTCCTTTCGCAACGATCGCTTCGATAGTCATGAATATTCAGGGCTCGGTGTCAAATCGATTAAAATATTACGTGTCTACGAGTCCTCGACATTTGTTCAACTTATAGTTGTATGAGTAAATTATTTGTACATAAATGAAACAAAAAGAAAAAAAAAAACTTGACGTGAAACGTGTTAATACGACGATAGGCGTTCGAATTGGCTGAAAGGTTCGCGGGTTCGCCAAGATAGCGCCGCGCGACGACTCGGTGAATCGGGAGGTGCTCGATTAGCGTAGATCGCCAGATAGTCGCGTGTAAACGTCGCTGAAAACACTTTCAACGCAGCCCGACGCTTTATTAACATCCACGTTTCCCCGTATCTCGATTAATAGTCCCCGTGCGCATAATTGAGTACTCGCAGTCAGCATAATTTATCGCGACGCGCCTCGACTCTATGTGAAACAATCGCTGGGACGCCGAGCACCGATTACACCGTAGAAATTGGTATCGCAACCAGAAATAGGCGAAATAAGGATTCGGTAAAAGTTGCCTATCCGAATTACAATAAATCTTTCTCTAACGCGATTGCATTCCATGCTTTTTATTTTATTATGGCTGTTCCGACTCAAAAGACTAAAGTACACTTTTTACCAGACGTAATTACGTTTTCCCCGAGGGTGGCCTGACGTGTACAAACAAACAATGGCGGCCGTTACGATCCTTACGAGGCGTCAATCAAGCCGATCGATCCTCTCTGCCGGTATCTCAATCACGCATCGAACTCGCTTGATCGGCGTGGCGGCTCCCGCGGCCGTATCAAACACGACCGCGCGCTTTTATCGCACCTGGATATCGCGGATCCCCGTGAAGTAGCGCCAGCTCGCCGCGAAATCGACCCCCGTGACGACCCAGACCCATCGTAAATCTCCGTCATTGATCCACGACGCGCACCCTGATCCTCGCGCTCGGCTAATTCGAATTTCATAACCGACGTCAGCTATTCCCACCTCTGGAGCAAAACTGCGGCACCCATGTACTCGAGTGCTTTAGTTTATTCATGTCGAAGTTCTCAGACATGGCGCTTGGAACGATAATAGAAAATTCGTCTTTTACTGCTTCATCAAAATCGTGGTGTATTTTATAATTGTATCGTAGTAATAGACTATAGACGTTTCAAGCGTTGTCGTATCCATGTACCAATCGTTGCGCTGATTGCGGGTTCAGCCATTCGTCAGCGTGAACCAATTTGGTTGGCAGTCCAAATAAGGTTACCTTACCCTATATCTGCTTGTGCTAGGTCTTCCGGTCCATTTGCTCGGTTTGCAAACTTGGATGTTTGGTCCGTGAAAGAGAGATAGTCTCCTGGTTTCGTGACACGGGTGCACCCTCTTTATTTTGGGTCTCCTGGAACCGGAATCGAGTGCCCCCTCCCCCCTCCCCACTCCCTCCCCCCTCGTTTGAAGCCCGTGGACTAGGACGGGTGAGGACGCTTCTTTGCGATACCACCCCTTCCTAGCGACTTCTAAGGCACCCTTGCCAGGTTTTGATTTATATCGGCCGCTTAGCATATTTTGTAATTTACTGTTGAGAATCCTTAACGTACGGGACCCACCGTCAGGGCCCAGGGCGACGAATAGCGACGCATACTGGCGGAGCAACAGTGGCATCGGGATCACCCGAGTCTCTACGCCGTGGGGAGATGCCGCCCTAATCTTCCCTCGCATCTTCTCCCCTGTCTTTCGTCCTTTTTACACGAGCTTCCATCCTCTTGGCTTGGTCTGTTATCCTCGTCGCTCTTGGTTTATCGTCTCCGCTATCTGATCGCCAGTTTCTACTCCCATCTTTGCTCTCGCTCTTACCCGCCAAGCTCCCGCGGGGCTAGCGATAGCATCTCGACAATTTGTACGCCGGTGGATCGTTAAAACTCTCTCTCTCCCGAAGAGGCAGCGGACACGTTGGCTCCAACTCCCGGAGCACGAGCTTAATCCAATTTCATTGTGTCACGGTCGTCCCTGGGGGATCGAAATCGACGCGTGAGACTCGCACGGGGATGTTTCGCGATAGATTCGAGGGTAGTCGATTTGTTTCCTCTCGAATGACTCGAAGGATTCGAGTTTTTATACTCTTTACCGCGGAGACTACGCGAAACGATACTATCTAGTGACTGTTAATTGAAATTAATATCAAACTAAGTGGTTATAAGTAACTCCATTAAAAACTGGTATTACAGTCAAGAATTATTACCTTGCGTTTCTTTAAGTACGCGATGAATCATTAAAGAAAGTAGAAATAATCTTCCGTCGACTAATCTTCGTCTCTGAGATTCTTAGTCGACCTCGGGAACTCGTTCCTTCTATCATTCTTTGCGTTGACATCGCGATAACCGTGACAGATTTTTCCAAACCCGAAGGAATCTAATTAAATCACGCGGCAACAGTAAATTTCCACTTTCACTGATAATCGCTGCAGCATCTACCTCCCAAGACGCAACGATTCCAAGCACGGGCAAAATTCTTCGCTCGGGAAAGGGTCTTCGTCTCCCATAGGTCACGAGCAAACAATTTAAAGACGCCTCCAGTCGAAACCAGCGACGTGCATTCGAAAAACCCCCAAGATATTACGGAATAAACGCCAAGACGTGCGATCCTCGAACCGCCTGCCTCTATACCCCTTTTCAGGTATCGCTTACTAATGGCTACGATATACGCCTGCACCGTGAGTACAAGGTCTGGGTTAGGCATATACCGTTGCCGATGTTAAGACGTTAGGATCTCCCAGCGAATTCTCTCGCAAAAGTCGATAATATAAACGCCTGACCGTTAAAATCGTACGTCATCGCGATCCTGCCGTGAACGAGTCGCGAAAAATGCACGTACGGAAATTCTTCGGCTACCGTGAGACAAATTGCTCGTCTCTTCCCGTGTGCAAACCTGCGAATTTCCTTGCGTCGAAACAAAGTTCGTTCAACTTGGATAGAATTCGAAACATCTTTGAAAAATTGATTTCATTTGAAACATTGGTTAATAAAACCGAGTGTAAACGCGAGTGAGCAATTCTACCGGTGGTTATTTTCTATTCGATTCCATCGCCGCATCAGTTGGAGGAAAATTTCTCAATCGTACGTTCAAACCGAGAGTTATGGTCATTGGTAATCGTAATCACGCTCGAATTTTTTTTATCGCGAGGTGTTTGCAGGAAACCGAGGATCGCGATAAATACACGTATTCTATGGGGCTCCTTAGACCTCGGCGAAGTTTGTAAACTATCCTACGACGCTGCTAACGACAGTCGCAGTTTCCTGTGGTTGCGCAACCCTGAAGACGCGGTTGTAAAATACGTCCGAACGCGGATAGCATCGAGAGTGTTCAAAGGTAGTTTCGACGCTGCGATTTTTTCGAACGCGAATATACGTTCAATCCGATGAACCTGTGGCTCCGTTAAGAATCGGATTGCGAACGAAACGAAATGTGCTTTAAAGGTTCGTATTGTAATTAACGTGGATTTGAATTTGAATTACGCGTATGAAAAGTGCACCAACACTCGTAAATCCCTATCTCGCCCAAAAAATGGCCCGTCGAGAGATGAAACGAAAGCGTCGGCGAACTTGTTACGCGCCGAATATCGTCAAAGATGCGCGTGGAAGATCACACGGCGCGTGTTACCCTTAACGAGCGAAATTATTATTACCCCGGACACGGGATGGTCCCATTAAGAGGCAGAAAGTTTCGCGAATCGGCGAATCTGACCACGATGGTCGGCCAGAAAGACAGATAATTTCAAAGAGAGGGCTGTTACGCTCGAGTCGAGTGTTACTTAAGTCTCGCCATGGGGTTGTAACGTCGCCTGGAATCGGCGTACAGTTTCACAGCAAGCCGCCGCGATAAAGTTGGGTCCAGTGGGCCTCGTGATCGCCACTTTAATCTAAACGCTCGTGCCAACCAGTGATAACTGCGGCTTTCAAACCTGGAGAACACGAGAATTAAAGAAACGAGCGAATTGTGCGTGCTGTTCCGGCCGAGGGATCGTTACGAATAGATTGGCTTTACGAGCAACGGAACACAGGAAGAATTGTACGAATGAAATCAACTGGCAAGTACGAAGAGGGCTACCTTGATCTACCTACGAATAGCTACCACAGAGTGGATACTCGTATCGATATTGTTGCAACGTTCAGCGTCGCTATTAATGGTTTCTTGCAATCCAGTCGAGTATCACGGGCACGGTTTTTGTCGGTTCTTTCTCCTCGACACGCGATAGCGTATCATTACATCCGAGTTACAGAGTACCAAGGGATGCATTACGTATTGAGAAACGGAATTCGAACCGATCCTTCTCTCGCGGTGGATTTCGTTTCGCCGAGCTTGCGTTTCCTGTCGTTGCTGAACAATTCCCTGAAAGACCATACTTTTCGCTCAGAGTTTCTCAACTACTTCTGAAAAATTAATTCGCAATTTCGTAATAAAGTTGGTCACAAGATCGTTTAAACGAGATCTGTTTCGCCGTGTTCGTTTCCGTGTGAAATACAAAGCGACGGTCGCTTCGCGACGGAAGTTTAAAGGTCGACTTTTAACGAAAACGATTGCGTCCGCGACGACTGGCCGCGGTGTCGCGTTTTATTGCGTTCGCGGGTTATCGTTAGGTGGCGATCTTCCAAAAAAAGAAAACGAATCCCTTGTGCGCGCATATTTAGCGCCGCGCGTCTATTTTCAGTAGCACATGAATCATCCGCGATGATTATTGCACGCATCTTCGAAGGTGCGTCAGGTGTGATTCACGGTGTGCTTTCCCACGGGATTACCGATTCACTGAAAAGTATCGTTGCCGTTAAAACCAACAAGTTTTTTAGCAGAAGGAAAAGAACTTGGAAACTTCGAGGAAGCGTAGAAATACCAGAAAACTGGTGAACGAGGTGAGC